TTCATCCAATGCAATGAACTAGACCCAAACCTGTGGGAGTGGGACATTGGGCCCATCGATGAGCTTGCGGATTGGTTTCTTTTTTTCCCAGTCGCTTTGAGCGAGTCACTGCTTTGATGGAGCTTTGCCCGATGTATAGCGATCAAATACTACATCAACTCTTGTTGTGTGCTGTCCGAAGTGACGTGTTACAGTTTTTACAAACACATCAGCATATTCACCAAATGTCTGACACCCAAGAGGCTTTCCAAGAGCTTGGATGAGGGCGTTACCATCTATAAGCACACATGTCTTCATGTCAGCTTTTGGAACTTTAGGGGGTATTTGTAGTCCTGCCATCAAGATGTTAATCAGCTCCGACTTTGAAGCAGAGTTCATCTTCCCTCCAGCCTTTGTCAGAGACAGTGGGATTGGGGACAGTTCATGCTTGAGAATGGTCGCCATTTCTAGTGGTCGCCCGGCGGTGACAGCATTGAGCAATCGCTGCAGTAGCTTTCTGTCAGCTTTGATTGTTTTCTGTACATTCTGTTTAGTAGATACATTTGCTTTGTACAGATCAGCGAAGGTTTTTGAGTGGTGCTTCCTCAGTGTGTCATGAAACCCGACAGTTCCCTCAATTAGGCGTTGCTTTACATTAGTGGCAACATGCTTCTTTCCTCGGTCTTCAGCTGTGAGTAGATCTCTCACCACGTCATTCGATGCAGTATCTTTGGTTTCCAGTGATACCAATAGTATGTCTTTTCCGTCCGTGTCACAGTCTCCCTTTCCTTCAGCCAAGGTAGTGTGTACTCGGAATACATAAAATCTTGTCACTTGTGTGGCAAGCTTCATCACATCATCAATATCACGCCTTGTGCTTGCTGGACGACTATCAGAACGGGTAAAAGTGGTCTCAATGTTGATGATGTTAATTGATGATTAAGTGCCATTAATGTTGAACGTGCATGATAGTTTAAACCAAAGGATTCGGTGTGCAAATTACTTTAACATGCAAAATAAACACATTTCGAGAAAATCACATTTTTGTGTTTCACGATGCCATACACATATGTGTAAAAATTAAAATTCACTTGTTAATTAAACAGGCTAAATACATGTTTTTGATAACAAAAATAGTTTCTATGGATAGAGCAGACAAAGTTGATGTCAATTAATGCACAATGTAAAATTTGACCTTATTTGACCTTTGACCTTGAAAATGACCTTTAGGGTCAAACTCGAGAGTGGCATCCACCCACATTTTCTTTCCCACCCTATGACTGATTGATCTAGCATGGTTGCCTGTTATTAACAAAAAATGCACTAGAAATGTTTTTCTAGAGGACTTTTCCAAGTTTGGCTGGTGTACTATCATGTTTTATGTCATTTATCATATTTGATTTCTTAACTTTACCCTTTGCAGACCCCCAGAAAAAGTGAAAGTACAAGTTGTCTAATTAAAGGTTCTCAACCATGTCAATATTAGAGCTGTTTATAGACCAAACTTTGGATCGTAGCCTTCTATAAAATTTGTTGTTTCCTACAAGAACTCCCCGTCTTCCACCTCTACATCAGAGGCTTCATCACTTCATGCTTCACCATCTGAATCGCTCAGTACTTCCAACTTGGAATATGTTCTGTCGTGTTGACTGTCACCCTTCCAACGTCCACTGGGTCGCTCTGGGTTGTTATTGACATATTTAATAAAGCTCTCTGGTACGGGGCCGGACCTTCGAAGCCATGTTGCTTCAATAGGATGTGGGTCCTTCACACACGACCACGCCATCCAAATCGGGGTTGGTGAATAAAGGCCCGTCCGGAGGAGATCGCTAGTCTGCAGGCACGGGTGTCCACAACGCGGTAAAATACTGTGTTCGTGGGCCACCTTCATCTGCTTAGGGTTCTACGAGAAGGCTGGGAGCAAAGCAACAGCAACCCGCTTGACGTTTGCCAGTGGATTTGATCGTGTGTGTGTTGCGTGCAGTGCGTGCGTAGCGTGCGTGCGTGCCGTGGCGTGCCGCGGAGTGTGTGCTGTGTGTGTGTGCGCGCGCGCTGGGTGTATCTTGTGTGTTGCTGTGTTGTATGTGTGATGTGTGTGGTCGTGTGTGCTGTGTGCGTGTGTGTGCGTGCGTGCGCGTGGTGCGGTCCCCGTCGCGTGCGTGTGTGTGCGTGTCGCTGTGAAGAGGAGAGCAGAGAGTGTGTGTCTGTGTGGCGTAGGGTGTGTGGTGTGTGTGGGTGTGTGTGTGGGTGGTGTGTGTGTGCGCGGTGCGCGGGGGCGAGCATCTGCTGTGTGGTCGTGGTTGTGCGTGTGTGGTGTTGTGAGTGGGGTGGTGGGTGCTGCTCGTGCGTCGTGGCGTGGGAGAGAGTGTGCGGTGTGTGCGTGGGGTGTGTGTGTGGTGGGCGCCGGTGGCGCGGGTGGTAATCGCTCTAACTCTCTCCTGGCTTTCCTCTCTCTGTGTTGCGGGTGCGGGGGCGTAAGCGTGCGGTCGCCCGCTGCGTGAGGGCGTGGTGGGTGAGAGTGTCGTGGTGTGTGGCGCGGCGCGTGTGTGTAGTATATGCGTACCCTCTATCGGCTCTAAATCTCTCGTCTGGGTCGTCCCGGGGGGCTCTCTCGTCGGGGGTCTGCGTCTCTCGTCGGTTCGTATCGTGCTGCGTCG